ACACACGCACACACACACACACACACACATATATATATATATATATATATATATATAGGCGCGTGTATAAGCACACACACACACACATACACACACATACACATACACACACACATATATCTATATATATATATATATATTATATATATATATATATCTCCAAACAATACTTACCTAATTCCGCGTAGCATTGGGCGATAGCGGTCAACTCGTGCTGAGGGGTTTCTGCCAGTTTGACCTTATCCCAATCGATGGGGCCCGGTTTGTCTGACACATTAAAGTACATCTCCAACTGTTGCGCGCGTGTGATATAAGATGACGACAGCTCACATTAAATATGTGTACTACTGTAAACTATTACTAACCGTATAAGCACTTGTTTCCAAAAGAGAGGTTGCCCGTATCCCAATCGATAGAGAAGAATGCTGTATTGTTATATACAATCCTAAGGTAACAACCAAATGTATCATGTTGCGTGAGAGCTGCGACGCACAGACGAGTTAGCGTGAACTTCAAAAGAAGCCACACGTGTCGATGGGAAAGTCGGTTACCCACTCAGCAGTACTTCAACACACACTATCTATATATATCAGACAGAGGCACCAACTAATACATCGGGTACTTTCCTATATGACACCAGGTATTAGTCGCCATAAAGGTCAGAATACAAAAATACATAAATACATACATACATGCATACATACATACATGAATACATACATTGATCTATTCATAGATACATACAAACATACAAGCATACAAACTACACACAAGTTCTAGCTCTCTTAAAGTGGACTAACAACGCGGGTACTACAGACAAGCCGCCCAATTGCGGATACAGCCACTAAGGTATGTGTCATCTACACCACAGTTACTATCACTAGTATCCAGTGATAGCTCAGGTCAATGAATCACAAATGATACGCTGTGGTTGTGTATTACTACGATACAATAGCGCAGGGGTATGTAACTGAAATACGGATAGGGTCACTCGGGCCGGGGTGTGGGATATACCACAAACCAGTATCAGAAGTAGCGTATAGTCGCTCCTGTCGGTGGACCACAAACCGCCGCGAGAAGATATACAATAATCACACCCTGGTTATAAACCAAGTTTATCTAAAACCAAGTTTATTCCGAGTGCACACACCTGTTCACGGCACAGTTCGAACTCGTCCAGATCCCACAGGAGCAGGCCCATCATTTTCCTGATTTCGGAAATCAGGGGCAGTTCGGGACTCAAATGCACTACGTTCTCCAGCGCAGCGTCTAGCTCGTTAAGGGCTTTCACGTAATCACCTGTATAGAATAATAGGATTACAAAGATGAGATGCGGGTGTGAATACAGAACGGGAGACTGGTAGATGAGTGGCTGTGTAGTATCCCAAGCGTGTATGTGTGTAGGTACGTACCTAAATAGGTCAATATGTAAATATATACATATTTGCAACTTTATATATATATATATATATATATATATATATATATATATATATATATACATATATACATATCTACATATATTATATATATATATATATATATATATATCTAATATACGTATATATGTATACATACATATATACGTATATACGTATGAATCAGGGAAAAGTGCGGAAGCGAGGAGCAAGGAGTCCACCCAAGCCTAATTCGAAAACAGAAACAGGACTAAACAACCCAGCACAATGTCGTACATAATCCGAATCAATGCATGCCTAGAACACAACTCCAATTGTCATCGCGACTCAGCGATCACTGATTTGACGCACATGAAACGGCACATACACATCGAAGTGCGGATCGGTAGACTGAACAAATACTCGTGATCCTACTCTACAACTACTACTACATACGCCCAGCTTGTGCAAAAGTATGATAAGGGGCATACAAACATCGCACGGCACAAAGTTCGATAGATGAGGGAGATGCTCTGAGTCCCAGGCGTATAACAGGGCTTGAGATCACATGTACCCCTTGACGTATGATACTGTATGTAGTATCGGTCACTATGAGACAGTTTTTTCGTATGTAGATACATAGGTGGAAATGATAGCTGTCTGCGAATGCATATCGCCAGGAGGGGTATAGCTATGCGCCTTCTCTAAACTAGAGATACGACAATGATACGTATCTACCCATGAAATAGCAGTTAGCAGGTACTATTGATATGTTAATATTCATCCGTATACAATATATGGGAGCTCAAAAGCGAGCATACATATATGAGCAATAAGAAAATATATATGCAAATATGAATCGCCTATAATTCTGTCGGTGACCTATTGGAAACAAAAACATATCTCCTCCACCGTGGGTGATTTGTACGACAACTCCAATGAGTAGACATATTACTATACAGAATATTG